GTGTCCTTTGGGACTTTTATCCTGTTGGAGTTTAAGCACTCCCCGAAAGCATAATGCAAAACCAGAAAGGGAGACCAGGATCAACGCATGTGTATATTTATATTTGCTTTTCTACACCTTCCTCTCAGGGAACAGGGACCAATTCCTCCTGCCAGGCATCCTCTGTGCACATCCCCTTCAGAAGCGGCCGTTTGGTGCATGGCTTGTTGAGGTTGCGGGACCTCACAGCCATGTAGAGCAGCCCAGGGCTCTGGCATCCTACCCATTAATTAGACAACACACAAACTAGTCATCCGCACTCACTATTAAGCTACCAGAAACAAAAGCAGGACACTTAGATACCTTTGGAGCTTAGCAACAGCTGCTCGGGATCCACTCCACCTCTCTCAAAACTACTGACAGCTTTTGAAGCAGAGAATTCATTGGACAGAGAAACAGGTTGATATCCCCCCTCCTCAACTGTAGGCAGATCCAGTTTGTTATTTTCTAAGCGTTTCCTTGGTGCCACATACAAATTCAATACTGTGTCTGCTGGCAAAGATGTCTATTTTCAGAATAAATACAATGACAAGCAAAGTTTGTATTAGCAACAGCTAAGTAGAAGATATCAGGAGATAAAAAGGAAAAATCTCTCTTAAGATCCTAATGTGCATAAGGACAAGAGACCGAGTAGATCTAATTGTATGAAATTAAGGAATTTTCCACCCACTCACTCTCCTGCCCTTGCAGCTGGAATAGCACAGCCTGGGTCCTGCCTCCTGGTTTATCAGGAAATTGTTTGTAGAGAACAGAAACGTTTCACAACACAGAGCAAGAAATAACTGCAATGATTTCTCTGCTGTACTAGCTTAGGGTCAAGGCTGATGCAAGGCAGTCCTTACTGCATGCCAATATTGCCGTTCTTATACGCACACATGAGTATCAGGGGACAAACCCATATAGACAAAGACTGTTTCAAGCTGCCAGTTATTGGCCATTATTACCTGGTTATGGAGATGGCAACGGTTGAGGTTTATGACAGGTTCTCAATAACACTACACAGCAAGCCAACATGCTGCATTTATCACCAGGTTTACATTGTACTGACCTGATATGGGTCCAGCAATGGGAAGGCAACTGCAACAAATGCTTGTAGCTGTTTGGAGCCCCACTTATGTCCCTCCACTGAAAAGGATCCCCTCTGCCTACTGAGATGGCTGAGTTTGCCCTTGAACCTGTTCCTTTGACTTAGGCAGTCTGAGAATTTAGTTCAGAAGTATCTAGTTAGTTTTAAAGATTTAGGATCAGTTTTGTCACATGGTGCCCAGATGATCAGCTGTCAGCTTCTACATGACCAAGAGCTGGGGCAAGAAGTCCCACTAGGGACAGCAGTGCGGCAAGAATCAGAGTGCCCCAGTCTGACGTAGATTTCTATATAATTGTACTACCTTTAATTCAACGAGACTGTAAGAAGTTTAAAACAAGTTACATGGACCAATCCTAAAGTGACCAATCTCTTTCCATTTCCTAGAAAGAAAGTCAAGGGTGACGAGTTCAGATCCAAGTGTCTCCAATCAGGTGAGATGAATCCCACCTTCAGGGCATAAGATGAGGAAGAGGTAAGGATCAAGCCCCTAAGGACTACACTGAATTCAAAGCAGTCGTGAGCTGACTTTTTCTTATCCATGTATTCCAGCCACGGTCAGGAAAAAATACACACTGTGGACAACCCTGATAAAATAGAAGTTGCCCCCCAAAGTCACTTCCAGAAGTGGCAGTCTCCATGGTACAGGTTACCACCACCTCCTATAACAATCCATAGCATGCCATAGTTTTAGAGCAATTAGCATAGAGACTGTTTTAAGCACTTGGAAATAATAAGCCTGGTCCTGCTCTCCTCAAAGCCAATGACCCAACTGCTGACATTATTAGTGGATAAGGTCTTTTTAAAGCATCATAGGCTTTACTCCAGCCTAACTCCACTCGTTTCCCACTTTGCAGTCATCTGGCTGTATTAATAAAAAAGAAAACCACAGCATTTCTCAAAATGATTTAAGCATCATTTAAACTCAGGTGACCTTGTCTGCCTGTGATGCGCTGAACAACCTGTCAGTCACACTTGTCAATCACTGTTCCTGCTCCTTAAAAGCAGGAGTCTAATTGAAGCGAAGAAGCAGAAATGAAGGTCTGATACCTACTTTCTCAGAACTGCAATTTCATTCTCTATGCTGCTTTCCTTTCCCTTCAGTGCCTTCTTGGGAATGCACTTGACCGCAAAGAGTTTCCCACTCGCTCTCTCTTCAGCCAAAACAACTTCGGAGAATGCACCCCTGAAAGAAGAAAAGAAAAACCCCGGTTTTAAGTGGTGCCTTTTCTTTGGCAGCTGTTAACTGAAACATAACCACCAAATCTATTTCTTCTAGTGTCTTTTGATAGCTGCTCTTGTTAATCACAGCAACAGCATTATGAGCATCTTTCTTTGCCTTTACAAACCTACGCAGACATTCACATTCACAATACATTAAAGGCTTACCAAATACGACAATTTTAATAAAGAACCATAGTCCAGCAGAGGTATGAGCAAAGCTTGAAAGTCAGAAAGTACCATTTCCACACACAGGGGCATGGACTGTTGTCCGGCTGCTGATTTGATGGATGATGTACTTTTCCCCTTCCCGAAGTTTTAGGATGTTTAATTCACATAGCAGCACAAAGTCCCTCAGACTAAATGATGCACCAGTACCAAGAGCGTTCCCAGTTCCTCAGTGACCACAAGAGGTCAGGGCCTCCATTCTGGTCCTCCCTGGCAGCCCAGAGCATCTCCTCTCCATTGGCTCAACCCTGACTCAGACGGGGAAGCAGCGTCAGAATTTCTCTATGTACACAGAGTTATTCCACAACACAAACTGCTGTGTGTGTAACTGCTAAAGCCAAAGAATCGGATTAAATCACAAGTCCAAATGCTGGACTTAATAGCAGGCCCCCCCCTACAGTTACCCCAGAGAGAATTACACAAATAAAGAAACTTCATCACAGCAGCCAGTTACTAATTGCCAAGAGCGGGCAGTGCCTCTCCTTCACTAGGTTATTCCATAACAGCGTATTACTTCTTGCACTCTCATCGCTTCCTCCAAAGCATCTGGACCTTACTGGGGAGAAGCCAGGAAAATGTTACAGTCAGTGCTATATACGCTTTTTTTCTATTCTCACACTGTTTTCTGAGCATTTGAGCATCATTCAGGCACTGCTGGTCTGGATGGACCTTTGCTCTGGCGCACTGGGGCCGCTCATGTTCCAGTGCCCGTTACCGATTTAGCAACAAGGTACTGGGCAAGACAGAGCATTGGCCTGATGAGGAACAGCAAATCTTTGCTCATATTCACCAAAACCTCCTCCTGAAGCACCCGCTTTGTCCAACAGACATCAGAGCCAAGGACTTGTCTAACCAGATCACAACTGAAGGATTCACCAGCTGAAGGATCATATTTTATTTATACAAAATAAAAAGAGGCAGGACACTTTCCTTCATTTTTTTCCCCCTCATCAGTAGATTATTCTGCTCTTCTACATAGCTCTCTGTGAAAAGAACTCGGCAGCAGGCTGAGCAAACCCAACCATGCTCCAGCCCACTCTTAAAATGTTAATGTTTGATCACAGCCTCATTTGGCTACCACCAACTTTCTCTGACTTTCATTCCCCACAACTGCTGCTTATCTAGATGTTTGTGGATAAACAGAAGCATTTCCTTTCCTAGCCAAGCTCTTCCTTTTTAAGTCACGCACTTTGATGACACAACCAAGCGGCTGTGACCTCACCAACGGTTCCTGAGTTGCGAAATGACCAAATGAATCATTAAGCCAGTGGATAAGTGGATAAGCAAAAGGAAGAGGCTGCTGCTTTGGAAAGAAAGCACCTGTTTACCCAGAAAGGCTTTTGTAGCCAGCAGCAATAGGAAAACGGTGACGGGAAGTTTAGCAACAGATTAAAAGAGACTTTTGCAAACTGTTACGGCAGATGTTTGACAGCCTATCTACATGTGGTAGTGACCCTCTGAACCAGGAATGTTATGCCTCAGTTTGGACAGCGGTCCAGACTCTGACCACATTTACGCCACTCTAAGTACAGGAACGAGTCACTGTTTTCTGCTGTGTGTATAATCTACCACGGCACGTCAGAGCATCACGAGCTCCAATTTAGAGTCCACATAATTGGTCCTGACGGCTTGCGCAATAAAGAAATCAAGCCACCCAAAGTGGTTTTAAAGACCTATTCTTTGCTTTCCTATTATCAACAGTCCTAGACATTTGATTCACCAAATGGGGTTTTCACCCTGACCCTCATGCTTGGGACAGCCAGACCAGAACTGCAATAAAATCCTTTTACTGGAAAGCCCTAAGACCTCTTAGTGCTTATCAGCTTTGGTTGCAGACCAGAGTGCTCAGAAACTCACAGGACTGCTCCCAGCTATATTTCATGAACCCCTTAAGTCCCATCTGCTTAAGCTTTCAACACTGCACTTCACTCCAGCTGTGTCTTGAACAAGCTTTTTGCCCTCAGTTAAATGCTGTTAAAAGCAACATATTCATACCGGTCGTTTACTGATCACACGACTCTCCCAATGTTTGTGATACTATAAAAACGCAGAGAGCTCCCATCCCAATCTGAATTTCATTGCTGTTCTCAGACAACAAAATAAAGGAAATCCCCTTATATCCCTCTACGCAATAAAGCCAGCTTTGGGAAATGCCTCTATTTCAGCTGGCTTCACCATTTTGCTGGATTTCTTTCTCCACTTACCAGGACAGCCATGGGGTTCAATGGTTGGAAACAGCTTCTGTGAATGTAAATTCACATAATTTTTTGGGGAGCTCTGAGATACTCATAAAAACCAATTCCGTATCTCCTTAATAACCTTTCTCATTAAAGCATTAAATGAGCGAAACCTCAGCTAAAGCATTTGCTCACATGTCAACCCTTGGCACTGACAGGGCAGTTTTTTACATCGAGTTTTATATGAGGCCATGGCATGAAATTGCTGGTGCTGGGAAGAGCCCCTGGGCAATGAGGGGGGAGTGCTGGGGTGGATCTGCCGGGAAGGCAGGAGGGAGACGCGAGGCGGTCTGCGCTATCCTGTGCACTATATATGTTCTTGTGTTCACAGAGCAAGGGAGGGGGAAAAGCAACAAGGCAATGGACAACAGAAAGGTAAGTAAGTGAAGCGGTGGAAGGAAAGAGAAGGGAGGGAACAGATGCAGATAGGGATCAAAGAGTTAAACACAGACCGAGAGGAACGAACTGTATAGGACAAGAAGAAAGAAATGGTAGCAGGAAGCATCAACAAGGAAAAGGCAGCAAAGACACTCCTGGAGTCTGCTGGAATCAGGGGAGAGTCAGAAATAATAGTGTAGAGGTGGGCAAGCAATTATCATAATTTCAAACACACAGCTGAATTCATCCACCCTTAACGATCCAGTCCAGCCCCCACTGAACCCTTCTTGACTCACGCATGAATAGATAAATACCAGAGAGAAAGTCAGAAAGACAAGGCTGCTCGTTTTCTTGCTAACAGCAATATATCCTACAGCAAATTGTCCGCCTCCTCTAAAAAGTTCCCCAGAACTACCGACCTGGCACACCTGCTAAAGAAGATTTTCCCCCCAAAGAATTAATGTGCCCTTTAAAATCAGGACACTAATGAAGGAAGCAATTTGTCTCTAAGAATTTATTACAATTCTTTATTGAGGATTAAAAATTAATTGCGTACAAAGTTCTATAAAGATGTTTGGTTTTGGAAAATGTTGCCTTTTATACCATCAAAGTGACAGGACTTTTTGTCAAAAGGACATGGCTTCCATTCAGCATCACCAAGCAGTGCTACACAATAAAAAGGAAAAATACGATACAGGGTATGTTGGAAAACCAGAATGCTACACGTCTGCAGCTCAGACAGGGCTCTGGATTAAAACCCCACCTCTCCTAGGAGGTTCTGCATGGTCTATATAATGACATGATGTTCCCAAGACCTGCCATTTGCAACCCATATGCCAGTATCTCCATGGTCATAGCACTGACCCAGAAAGAGATTCAGAAACCCCTCGGTAGACCTTGTATTTTGAATTATGAGTTTTTATCTGAAATTTCATGCATGGAAAAACACAATTTCTGTGATGGACACAAGCAAACAGGAATATTTTTTATTCTGTGTAATACTGAGGAAGGTGTTTACTCTGTGAAAATATTTGGGGGAGTTTTATTCTCCTACCCCCAGAAAATAGGCTCCAAAAGTTATTTTTACACTCTGATGCAGATTTTAAAAAAATAGGGAGAAGACGTTAATTGATTAAAAGTTATGATTTTAAAGGTGGCTGCAACGTTGGAATGTCCCGTTCCCTTCAGCTGGGAAATAGGTAATCGCAACCTTTCCAATGGGCCTGGGGATACAGCCTTCACCTCTCTGAAGAGGGGCTTCAAACCCTTTCAGGAGCTTTCCTTGTCTTGCCTAGAGATTATAGCAAACAAATAAAAAAGCATTACAGTTTTGAGGAAGTAGGACAGCGGTGGAAACAGGTAAACAAGAAACTTCTGCAAAATTAAACCACCTAGTTAGCTCCTGAAATACGTGTGTGGCAACTGAACCTATTTTTGAAAGTTTTGACCATGTTATCATTTACCCTAGAGGATCGACTCTTTTCAAATTTCTAATTAAGGCATGGAATAATTTTATGATCTAGATCATTTTTATGTGAATTAGGAACAACGTAAAAGAAAAAAAAAAAGAGAGGTTAAATGACTTGACGTGTCACATTGAGATAATGGCAAATTCTAGAAGGTGGTTGAGACATTCTGACTCCTTACCCCTTTGCATACATCTGAACCATGCAGCATCCTATGAGATATCAATCTTTTATAATTTTAATTTAAGTTATTTTCTTTAACCTAGATTTAAAGATTAGGATTTCAAAATTATCATTAGAATATGAATGGCATCCATACCCAAACAGACTGGATTTTCTATTAGAAAACAACGGCTGCAAGGCTAGGCTATCCTGCAGATCAAAGCAAAATAAAGGCCAAATAACTTTTTTCCTTCATCTGTTTGAACTATAATTTAATATGAACACTTAATTTCTGAAATACAATGAACAACATATACTGCGACAGCAAATCTGTTCTTATTCATCAAAAAAAATTGCTGACACAAAAATACTGACAAAATGAAGACAAATAGTTGATGGAGGGATAAAACTTAATTTTTTCCATTTGCAGAGACCTCCATGTTGAGCAGTTTTCCACTGCATTAGCAGGTGCTCTGTCATACTAAATCAACAGACATAGTCAGGAAACAGATTTCAGATCTTCGGGCTGTGTATAACTAATGATCTTAATTATGATACAGTTGGCTTTCTGTGTGTACTTTGCCCCAGCCAAACCATGGAAAAAAATAGTGAACACTCACGGTTTGAAAAATATACCATGTCCACAGTGAAGATCACTGAGATGGGAGACCAACCAAATCAACGTAAGACCGACCAAATCAAAGAAGAAAATTTCTGTAATGTGGCTTCAGCAACCACACACAAATTCTGCTCCTTGACTCCCCAAAGGCGACTTTGAACTGCGCTACAAACAGAGGCAAGTATGTAAGAAAAAAATCTTCTCTGGCATTTTCACAACTTTTCCCATGGACCTCAAGGAGTTAACTGTGGGATGAGCTCAGTCTCTGTATAACCAGCACATATGTCCTGGTTTCGGCTGGGATAGAGTTAATTTTCTTCTTAGTAGCTGGTACAGTGCTGTGTTTTGGATTTGGGATGAGAACA